CCCCCCCCTTCCTCCCGTCACGTTAATTGTTCCTTCCGCAAAGCTGGCAGGCTGCCGGCTTGACGGAAATAAATAAAACTCGCAAACAGAAGCGACAAATAAAAGGGCTGCAGAAAGGGTGGCGTTGTGCGGCGTGTGGCTGCGCCCGTGTGGCTGCGCCGTGTGGCTGCGCAGTGTGGCCCCGGCCGGCCCCGGTGCGTCTGCCGCTTCACATAGCCCTGCACATACGTGCGGCCGTGTGTGTGTGTTACTGTCTCTCTCTGCTCCACTGTGGCCACACGCGGCTCACGAAAAGCGAGTGGGAAGTTATTTTCAGCCCACCGTCATTATCTTCCTCCTCGAGTGGCATCTCCCTTTTAATATGCTAATGTCGCTGTAGATCGTATTGCTCGGTAATTGCGAACCGCTTCTAGTTTGACAACTTATGTGGTCTTTTTGTACTTTCTTTGTGGTTAAGATGCGCTCGTCTGAACATCAAGCAGGGATGGATTTTGCCACCGTTACAGCGTTTGTGTGTTCTTTTTAATGACTTGTACTCCCTCAAATGGGGCCTGTGTTTAAAATATGCATGCTGTGTGATATACGGGCATTTACTTGTTAGGGAGCATTTTTAAAAATGGACTCTAATGTAAGGCACAGTCCTTGAGTGGTGAGACTAGCATCGTTTAGGACTTTAAAACAGATCATTTTGGTCTTCCTGACCTATAAGTGTTGTAAAGAAGTATATTTTTCTTACTTTTTTCCCACTCGGGGCAAAACGCTCTCTTAAAGACCCCAGAGACAGTTCCAAATTTATTTTAGAGCAGATGGGAGATTCGCCTTGTTTCCCCCTTCAACTGTTATTTCCCTGCAGAGACATGAAGTGTGAGTGATTGACTGCACCTGGACTTTATTTTTAGTTTTCTGGGGAGTTTGAAGTTATTGAATGGCTAAGGATGAAAGTCCTAAGATGTTTAAGATGGATAGTTATCTGGTCAGCGCCACATTGCCAGTCGCGCTCACGCTGCCCTGTGGGTCCCTGGCGCTGGCAGCTGACCCCTGCCTGGGAAGCTCTTTGAAGCAGGTCAGGTGTGCTTTGATTAAGTGTAGATGAGGCCTCCTCGACCCCCGGCTGTATGGGACTGAGGCGGCCGGCCACTGCAAAGATTCATGACTGGACTCCACTTTCGCAGTTAAGCAGGGGTGTATATGGGGGTGGGGCCGTAAGGGCACTGGCCCACGCTGAATGTTGATTGGCCCCCAGAGTGCTGCCTCCCCCTGTCAATCACGGATTCAAAACATAGCATTGGTTATAAGGATAAGGTCGGCCCCTCTGTATGAATTATGCCCCCTACCTTCTAAATTCCCATTCAGTATGATGGGGTTCATTCAGGATGTCATCCCCATGTGGGGGAAAGCAGACCAGCCCACTGATCACAGTGCGAATTCCCATCTCTGTCATCCCCTTCCTGATTGCTTGGGAGAAGGAAACGGCGTGCATGTCACCCAGCCGGGATAAAGTGCCGGTGATGGCTTTGCCACATATAGACGATTAACAGCGCTTTTCATCTTCATTATATACTTTCAATTCTCATTAGTTTTTCATTAAACAGCTCTCCCCAATATAGAGAAGATATTCACAGTCGCAGCTTACTGATTTCATGAAATGTTCGTGAAGCTACGCCTTTCCGTTGATGGCGGAGACGGTGCTGACAGCGATGGAAACCGTTATCTTCTCTGCATGTGCTTGTGTGTGTGTGTGTGTGTGTGTGTGTGTGTGTGTGTGCGCGCCTGCGTGTGGGTGAGCCTTGTCAGAGAGGACATTTCTAACATGGATTGTTCGCTCAGCTATCACACCGACCACGCTGGAAATCCGCGTCGTCTGTTCCAGCTGAAAGAAGATCGTAGGTAGCTGAAAGCCATTATTACACAACTAAATAAAAATAAAAGTCGAACGGGGAGGATGGGAAACCCTCTCTGTTCCTTCCTGCAATCTCTGTCTTTCTTTTCCTCTGGAGTATGATCAGAGGTACATGAGAAGTGATTATTCAAACAGGGGTTGGAAGACAGCAGCCTTGCATACAGAGCTAAGCTAATCTCCCTCCTTTATTGCTCGTCTTTTTGCGGAGATCATTCTTGACTTATCTGTACGTTCTGTTTCTAAATAGGAAGTTAGCCTCCTGACATGTGCTCGTGTAGGCTCAGAAGGGGCTGGTCAGCTACACCTCCCGTGGAGTGTGACGGCCATTCTGTAGGCGTGTGGAGAGTAGTAGCTAGCTTGTTGTGTGCTCCTAGGGTAGCACAGATTCTTCATTTTTTTTCGCACCAGGAAATGCGCTGCGTGAGGCACGTGGTCCGTTAGAGCGTCAGCGATGGTAGGCGGGAGGGTTAGGTAGGCCGCATGTGTATGTGCTGGGGGATTCTGTGACCGGCAAGTGGCACGATTAGTCAGACATCCGTGTGGCTTTCCCCCGCTCCCCCCCCCCCTTTAGGGGTGATGCTGCATCTGTGGGGAAGCCACAGCCCACATTCCGTTAGCAGGAAGCCCGGCCAGAACCGTAAACTTTATATGAGGTGACCTGCACAAATTCAGCCAGAGTCGCAGTGAATTAGCTCTATTGAAATACGACAGGCACAGGTACAGGCCTGCAGGCAGGGTAGGGTTTCGCTAAGTAGCGCAATACGAAACTTGCACATATTGTAGATTTACGTTCAAAGCTGTTGGCGGAGAGCCAAGTTTTAGCGGTTGTTTTGTGTAATTACACATCTTGATAGCCCGAATATCAGGGCTACTTGTCTAATACAAAGTGGATTGTTTGTGAGCATTCTGGCTCAGAGGATGCATCTGCTCCCCTGTTCGCTTTGTTTTGGAATTTGATGCAGCAATAAGCACCTCCTTCAGAATCAGTTTCGCCTGCAGTTGGATTTGTCTGATTTTTTTCCGTTGTCGTCGTCCTTTTGCCTCGAAGCACTTAGAATGACAGGTTTTCTTTTCCGCTTAAACAAACATAGCTCAAACGACACGTAGGAGCCACACGGAAGAGGAACAGACGGCGTTAGGTTTCCGGGAGAGCGTCTGGGTCTGGATGGAGGACGTTAGGCGGAACTGACGGGCTAGCGCTCGCAGTTCAGCTGGAGATTTGAAACTTGACAGAAGATCTGGGACGTTCAAATGAAGTCAGTGCTCCTTGTTCCCCTAAATAATGTAATTAAAAACATGCTTGTGAGATATCGTGTGATTGTCCCGTGCCCACTTGCCGGAAGATGATTCGGGCCCCTGTTTTTTTACTTTCCAGCACTACCTGAGCGGCCGACTCTGTGCGCAGCCATGAGCTGTGTCGCTAGGCGCTTCATTAAAAAGTTTTTATTTTGGGACAGGAGCGTCGGAGTAGAAAGGGATCATGGAAGCTGCCAGGATGCAGCAGGGGACGGAGGGATGGGGCTGGAAAGGAAGCGGAAGCGGCGTCTTTATTGTGTCTCCAAGTTTCTCAAAGCCGTCTGGCCCAGTGTCGCTTCCAACGGCGCTATCCGTGATGGCACCTTGATCATGTGACGGGGGAGGCGGCGGCAGGGCTCTGGTGAGCTCTCTCCGTCTACAGGGGCGAAGAGTGACACACTTCCTCATTCTGGCTACGCAGCCGTAATCCAGGACTCGTTTCCGTTAAAGATGAGGTTTGACAATAAAGAATGACAGGTTTTACAGTGGAAAGCACGATCAGCATCACAGTCTCTGTTTTAGCTCATAAATTTGGATGGAGGAAATTCTGGAGTATGTCAGGACAGTGAATGCGGCCCCAGGGCTGTGAGAGTAAGGCGTTTATACTGTGTCCGTCCCTCTGCAAGCAGGAGGTTACAGGGAAGGTAAATGGCTTTAGATTTGCTCGACTCCTCAGTATAAGAATAGAAAAATCCCTGTACGGGTTTGTGAAAAAGAAGAAAAAAAAAACGAGTGACTGACACTCCAAGGGAAGGTAAACTTAGAGGTTCATTAGAGGTGTGTCAAGGTGAGAAGAAGCCGTCTCCTCTCAACTCAGATGCAAGCTGTCTTAAGACCGCCTGAAAAAGGAATAATGACGAGAGCCAGGAGGCGGGGGGGGGGGGGGGGGGGGGGGGGGGGGCGGATTACGGTTCTGTATTGAGTTTCAGTTGAAACAAGGGCAGTGAAATGAATGGTTCTGTGGCGTGAAATCACCCTTATCGGCTCCCTCAGATGTGCCAGGGTGCCTCGGAGTCCTCGTGCTTCTCTCTGTCAGCTCACACGTTGGCTGGCGTGACCTCCGGCACAGTGGCGCTGAGTGCCACCGCGGGTGATGCCCCCCCCCGGGCCTCAGGACGCGTGACCTTTGCATGCTGCCTCCCACCGGCTGGCGCGTGCCGGTCAGAACCAGCAATTATGGGCCAGGTGTCTCTCAGACGGGCTCTCGGTGGGGGTCGCTGACCGTTAAGGCAAGGCGGGTGTCCAGGTGAGAGGGGAAAAAAAAGAGAAATGCAAATGTCAAGATGAGCCCCCATCTCTGAGCCCCCTCATAAATCTCTGAGAGGGTGTCGCTTCTTCCTGGGTTGTTGAGTCGTCATCTTGTTTCATTTATATGCATCTCATGTAGTTAATTTATTGTTCTCCATATTAAAAACCCAGGCCATTAATAACGCTTCTTATTGCGGTCTTAGGATGCACCTGTTACGATGGACTATAGACTATCAGCACAGTACTTGTCTTTTTGCCGTCGCTGGAGTGGAACATAGAAAAGCGATTTCTCTGGTAGCCTCCTTTGATCGAGCGCTGGGACTATCTTCATGCATAATTGTTGACATATCAAGCAGGGCTATACTTCAGAAATTCGGCGGATTACTTTGGGGGGAGGGGACTCAAGTGATAGCAATTGCTTCTGCGTGTTTTTATGGAAAAATAAGGTTGACAATGATGTCACTGGTGGCCCCCAAGCATGTAGCGCAAGGGGGCAGCATCTGAACATCGCTGCCGGTCTTGCTGAGCACACGCGCTCCTCTCCTGTTCCCCCCAGAACCACCGACACGCACAGAGACATGCTGAGGCTGTGAGCTTGGCCGTCGACGCCAGAGGAGAGCCCCCCCCAGCGAGCAGCGGTGCCATCGAGCGAGCAGGAGGACGCCAAAGACCGCTCCCCAAGTGAGCAGGCCCCCCCAGCCAGGTAGGCCGCAGCCCCACCCCCGGAGCCCCCCCTGCTGGAAACCAACACGGAGCAGCAGGAATGCTCACGACCAGTTAGGCCTTTAACTGGGATTCTGATTTGGCAAAAGGCTTCATGGAGGAATTTAAGGATCTAAATGACTTTGAAGATCTTCAAATCCAAGAACAGCACCGAAAACATGCCTGCCGTATGGTTTTTATTTTCCATTGTTTTAATCTTATTTTGCGATGCTTGTAATTGATACATCTGTGCAGATTTAGTTGATCATGATGTGTGAAAAGGCGGCCCTACTGTGCACGTATCAGGAGGTGATATGCTCGGGCTGGGAGTGAGGCGCGGCGGTGTATCGGGGCTGGGAGTGAGGCGCGGCGGTGTATCGGGGCTGGGAGTGAGGCGCGGCGGTGTTTCGGGGCTTGGAGTGAGGCGCGGCGGTGTATCGGGGCTGGGAGTGAGGCGCGCCGGTGTTTCGGAGCTGGGAGTGAGGCGCGCTGGTGTTCGGGGCTGGGAGTGAGGCGCGCCGGCGTTTCGGAGCTGGGAGTGAGGCGCGGCGGCGTATCAGGGCTGGGAGTGAGGCGCGCCGGTGTATCAGGGCTGGGAGTGAGGCGCGCTGGTGTATCAGGGCTGGGAGTGAGGCGCGCCGGTGTATCAGGGCTGGGAGTGAGGCGCGGCGGTGTTTCGGAGCTGGGAGTGAGGCGCGGCGGTGTTCGGGGCTGACAGGCATACCCGGGGCAGCTGGACCCGCTCGGCACTGAGGAGAGCGCATCCTCTCTGCAATTAACGGGAGGACTTCAGTGCTTTTTACACTTTCTATGTTTGCTTTTAAACATCCAGGCATTTCATACGCCCTGCCGCCTATTGAGTGGAGTTGCCACAGTTGGCACTTTAGTTTGTTTTTGTTTTTGTTTAAAATGGTGCTTCTATACCACAGAGTGTCGGTGGTCTGTGCATGGGAGCCGAACATTAGCATTCTGGGGGGGTGCCGCTGTCTGACAGCATGGATCCATGCTTGAGCAGTGCCTCGGCAGGCAGCGCACTCGCCATTAGGGTTGGGGGTCGGGGGGTCGCGTCCCGCGTGGGGTGGCCGCGGTCCCAGCGTGGGACCGCGGTGCGATTTGCAGCGCGGTGAGGGGGCCGGCCCGGTGGCGCCGGTCAGAGAGCAGCAGGGAGGCAGGAAGCTCGCCATCCAGGGCAAATTGGAACAGGAAGCCTCATTTGGCCCTCCCAGTGGGGGCAGCCATGCGGGTCTCCCAAAGGCGCCCCGGGTGAGTCATTCCCGGAGGAGAAGTTTGCCCTCTCTGCAGCGCTGCTGCTGAAACAAGCCCCGCCCCCCAATCCTTTTTTTCAGTAAGGGGTCGGTGTCACAGGCCGGGGGGGCCAAAGTGGCTGCCCACCTCCCATCTGGGGGCGGTGCTTCTGGAGCTCTGCTGGCTTGCCTGCACCCCCCCACCCGGCCATCCCGCCCAGCACCACAAACTTTTTCTTGGGGTCTTATTTTTCCATTTTTTTTCTTTAGTGCTGCTTTTCTGGTCAGTTTCAAGGGCCAAGTAACTGACGCTGACCAAGAGACTGACGCGCATGCATACACGCACACAAACAAACACACGCGCATGCTTACGCACACAAACACACACACACGCTCTCGCATATGCAGAGACGCGCATGCATACGCTCATGCGCACACATAGCCATGCACACACACGCACGCACACTCGCGCATACACAGAGACGGACACACACACACACACACACACAGTGTTACAGGAGGCCCTGATCTTGTCCGATTGAATTTTATTTCCTGAGGACAACCTGCCAGCATCATAATACTTCACACCTGTTTATTGCCCTCCCATTATGTGCCCGGCTCGGTGTCTCACCCCCCATCACATTAAGCTGGTAGCCATCCTCCTCTCCTCAATCCCCAGCAGACTGCGGCAGTATTTCAGGGCACCAGTGCACCATTTCGCAGCTAACGGCCTAGCCCCCGCTCTTAATCCCCCTGGCCGGTGGAGCCGGGCACGCCCGTCCTCCCCGTTCAGTTTCCCGAAACGTGCCGTTGAGTCGGGGGCTCCGGGAAGAGGGGAAGCAGGGAGTAGGAAGAGAAGAGGCAGGCCGCTCACAAGTAGCTTGCTCAGGAGCACCTGTCCTGCAAGATAATGGACGGCAAGAGCGTTTAACGCCTGGCATGATGCAGGGAAGATATGAAAGAATTCTCCACACTTAGATAGTGCCATCTGTTCTTGTTGGTAGATCGCATGCAGTATACAAACTATATGCATTGTGTTTCCACATGCGGACTGAAGCTTCCATTGTTGCCTGGAAACAGAGCGATATGGCGATGGGCTTTAATTCGAGCCCTCCGATGCGCTGGCTTTTTCCCGTGCTACCGTCGTCGTTGTTCAGATACCATATCTTAATCCGGTTTGATGGCATATGCAAAATACAATGTGACATAATATAATTTGGGCTTCATGTGAAAAATAGGATTATCTGCAGCATGATTGTCAGCCCGACGTGACAGTAATCGGCGTCTCCCAGGAGGCCGGCCATGATTTGCTCGTGGCTTGACCTGTTGTTATTATCTATCCACTTTTCCAGAATGTGCGAGCCAGACTCGTGTTACAGTCCCTTAATAAACTCAAAACTGTATCTCTTAAGATTAGTGGGTCGGCTGGGATACATCATCGCCCCCGTCGATAATCCCCCTTTTTTTGTAAACGGTAGTTTCTGTTGCAGTCGCATCCAGCACGTTCAGCATAGTACCAAGGGTTTTGGGGCAGGCGTCGTGCCTTCCGAAGGGCCGCTCGATTCCGCGGAGTGGGCGAACCGCTGACTTATCGACAGTCCAGCTGACAGGCTTCGCTGCATGTGAATCTAACATCAATCCACGGAGTGTTGAGGCGGCGCCCAGGGATCGGGGCAGCTCCGTAAGCGAGGAAGTTTGTGCGTATGGGTTAGGGTCTGGGTTCAGTTCTGGCGCTGCCGATGACCCTCACCGCGTCCATTGGGAGGTGCACTGGGTCCTCCATGTGCTCCAGGCCAGAATTGTGGGTCGAGGGTCGGGTTCAAGAAAGTGTGTAGGCCGCAGCAGGGGGTCGTCACTGACTGCACGCAAACCCAGCACTGAAGAAAGACCGTGACTATGTGGAATTAATTTCTGTGGTAATCAGGGACCCAGTAGCTTGGTAATTGCCTAAACTAGCACAGATCCGTTTCATCTCCTTTCACAACAGAAAGGACAAGTGGACTACTTTTCTAATAGGTTATACTGAAGCATCGATCAGAATGAAAGGCACCAAACGGCAGTCACCTCCCACTCCCCCACCCCCACCCCACTGGTCCACCACTAAACAGCGGACCCATCAAGGCTTTTCTTTATGATGAGGAGGCCGGAGGGAAAAAATAAAGGCAATGTAACCGATTTCAGGATCCGGAGCAGGTATTTGTCATTCCGGCACACAGGTTGCAAGAGAGTTTGGTGTTCTGCTGGGGGAAAAAAGATCGAGTGAAATCAGGATGTCGTCCTTGAATACAGATTAACACCTTGCAGGAGTTAGTCAGCCATTCGTATTGATTTTTCTGATATAACCCTGATTCTAATTGATTTTATTGAATAGAACAAAATTAAAGGGGACTTGGAAGTAAAACCCAATAATGGGCCACCAGGGGGGAATGTAAAAAGAAAAAAAAAAAAAGAATAATTTGAAATCTTTTCTTGCACTCGAGTGGTGTTCAGAGATTTGCACTCATGAGTTTTTTGAGTGAGGCAGTGGGGTGTGGGTGTGGGTCGGCACACACACCTCGTGCGTGATTTAAGCGGAGAGGAAAAGTGTGAAATATGTATTTTCCGCACATCCCCGCCAAAAGATGACACGTGGCGGCGGACCGTACATCATCTCTGAGTGATACAGCAGCTGACGTCTATTCATCACTCTCCGGCCTGTCGGCCTGTTTTTAAAGGCCGTTAAAGTGACATCCATCAGGACAGGTGCAATCCGGCATGTGGGGGGGTGGGGGGCTGGACCACCCGTGCGTCAAGCTGTGGGGGTGTCAGCCGTGTGGGCAGGTTGGGGGGTCCAACAAGTTAAACGATTGTCAAATGTTCCGGATTGAAACTCCTGTCACCGTGACCTTTAAAGTGCCGATAAAATAAACAAATTGAGGTGAACAGCTCATATTTTTGTTTGTTTTTTTATTCTTTTATTTCTTTATTTTTTTAAGAAAATCAAAGCGTTGACAGGTTTATTAACCTGGATGTGATTTATTTGAGAAACATCTTCATTTTCAAAATTGTTTTTTTTTTAAGGACATGAAAACTATCGCTCTTTCAGTTCCATTTTTTCCATGTTTGTCTTCTTAAAGCAGGGGTGTAATAAATTTGAAGGCCATTGTCATGGACTTTTTTACCTGGTTTAATACAGCAGTAGCTGTCCTACTCTTTACCGATGACTCATTTGCACCCACAAAGTGTTTTCGTTATATTTTCTAACTTTTGGCATTGGTAAAAGTGAACTGGGCATTTTATAACTGCTCTAGGAATCACAGTAGATAATTTGTTAAAATAGTTAAAGCAATATGTACCTGATAAGAGGAGGATGTCACACTGAGACAGGAGGACAGCGCTTCACGATGGGAGTGCTCTCCGCTCAGTGACACCGCAGTGAGCCGGAAATCACTCACCCTATTACATGCTCCGCTGAAGTAGCAGTTAAATTGTCACGTGTGGCTAATCGCTCACGGCGGCCATACTCCGCTCCTGTCATCGTCCTTACGGCGAAGGGGCAAACGTCTGCTCCAGGATAACATCCCGAATGACGTTCCTATTATGTTGGCCGGCCCACCTTTCCTTCCAAAGGCAGAACCTGTAAAGCCAAAAGGGGTGTAACATTTAAGGGACTATCACGTTAAATGAAATCCCACTTTATCTCCTGAAGAGAGCATTTATTCGGTGCTAAGCCGCAATATTTTGGGCACCTCCCCTCCCTCGCCATTCCATTTATCTG